TCTTATGTATATTGTAAAATATAGTCTCACCCCAAAAGATAGCATCCATTGATCTGCTGCTTGTAGGAACATTGAATGTTTTGTAGGCATCCTATTCATTTTTATTGACGACTGTCATGTGATTAATTCAACTTTTTTCATTCCGTTAAATTCCAACAATAAAATGTTACTTTTATTCATAAAAAGATATGCTCAAATGTAAAGCTCAAAAGAGGATAATTAATCTTGATACTTGAATTGTGATCACTAATTCACTTGCTAGGAATTCACATCTTGATTAGTGCAGTAATATTACTTTTTCCCCACTAAAATGTATTCACCGTATGATGTAGTGTAACAACAGAAGACAAGGGCTAGGCAAAAGATCGTTTACTGAGAAAATGAACAGATATTTATAGATTTTTATGTACATTATTATTAGCGTTATTATTAGCAGAGAAGCAACGTCTTCTGATTGGTTGTTTTCTTGCTGAAGGTTATTCTGTCATCTCTTTGTGGCCGTTTCTTAGAAAGTTAAGCCATATATCTGCGAATCGTATTTGCACACGTTAAGTCTGCTGTGATTGGTTGATGGGTTCCTCATGGGTAAGCTTTGTTATTGTTTTTCTCATGACTCTGATTCGGGACGTGAACATTGACGTGAATTGCTGTCTACAGTTTTGGCTTGCAGACAGCTCTCACCACATGTATTATTGATGTAAGTATAAAACGTAGGCACTGTGGTAGAGTATACCGCCATTATGGATAAGATTTTATTTTGATAATTCTCACAGTGTTATACAGTAATATTTACTGGCGACGACGTTTCGAGCAAAAACTATCGCTCATAATCATATCAAGTCACTCACCACAGTACTGTATGAATTTGTTGATATTATGCAATTTCGACTTGCTTCGGCGGTTCAGCAGTAGAACCCTCACTAACCACTCAGGTGGTCTGAGGCTCAGTTCCCGGCCGACGCACTCCTAGAACTCGCTGGGCCGGTAAAGCGGGAAGGTTAGGCGTGAGGCTAGTAAACCCACCCCATAAAAATAAAACAACTGCTATCGAAACTTCAAAGCTTTAGTATGAACACAGACATTTAGATTCAATTATAAAATTTAGCTCACAAGTTTGCTAAATATTAAGAGTTACGAGCGTTATCGTGGCATAAATTCTGTAGCAGTTTTCATTACACTTTTCTTCTCACTGGTATGGCAATATCCGACCAGATTACGATTCTGTAGTCTACAGCATATGTAGACACTTCGAGACTCAGCGAGTTGGTAGATATTCATTAAATCAGTTGTAAAAGCAGGGTTACCTAGATAGCTACATAGAGGTCGAGAGAAGAAATATGAAGTATGTTGGTTGACGACAACATGATTATCTGCCAAAATGGAAGATATTGATTAAAGTAATAATTTGACATATTTTAGCCAATCACGAGGTCCTTTTTTTCTGCAATGAACAGCTTTCATCTAGCAGCTAGTAACTAAAAGGATTGAAGGAACATTGTATTGTCCCAAAACTGTTGCAGACAGGGAGCAATTACCAGTCACTGAGATAACATCTGGCACTGAAACGAAGTAGCTGTAAGACTAAATCCCGAATGATACGACTTGTAAGCCACACTTACATCCAAGGTACAACAAAGAAGTCTTACTATCATCGGGTGTGATAGGAAACCACATCTGTTAACCCCTAACAGGACCCCGTCCCATCAATAACGTTAGAGTACTAAAAGATGGTAAATTAAATGAAAATTTGTCAGATGTTCACAAAATAAGTGGGATCCATATAAGTATAAAACTTGGGCACTGTGGTAGAGTATAATTCCATAATGGATAAGATTTTATTTTGATAAATCACACAGTGTAGTACAGTTATATTAACTGATGACGTTTCGAGCACAAACTATTGCTCATAATCATATCAAGTTGAACTTGATATGAACTTGATATGATTATGAGCAATAGTTTGTGCTCGAAACGTCATCAGTTAATATAACTGTACTACACTGTGTGATTTATCAAAATAAAATCTTATCCATTAAGTGGGATCCAAACAGAGAGAAGAAAACAAATCAATAAAACTTGCAGTCAGAGATCAGTTAAAGTGCATGGGACAAAGGTAGATCGCCATTAGTAGGTCATAGTGTGGTGGTGTGATACAGACAAAGTATTCCAACGGAATATTATTCTCATGTATTCCCACAGTTCAATACTGCACTAGCAACAGAATACTATATGTGCATTTTGAACATAATATTTCATTTCGTTTAATGTAAATCAAAATCACACGCTCAGTGATTGATCAAAGAATATAAACTGTTTATATATAAATAGCGGTTTGATCAACCGAAAATATTTGTTCGCTTCCGTGTCTTGCCTTCTACTGTTACAATAGTTCAGTCCAGTGGGAAAAAGGAAGATAGGGTCTCATTTTTGTCATTAGGGAGTAGGTTAAAAGAAATTTGCTAATGTCAATCAATTTCAGATATTGATATAGTGGGACAATGAGACTGAGTCCAAGACACAACATGAGAAGATAGAAACACAACAGGCATTTCAGCTGTAGACGTAACTTCTTCATAGGGACTAAGAGTGTGATATATACTACTGATAACAATTTTTCTGCACCATTATTATTATTATTGTCCCCTTAGTTCCTAGAGGAACATAGGGCTTCAGCTGCACATCTTCATTGCGTTGGGTTCTCTGCCAACGTTTTCACCTGGCTCCACGTCTGCCCACATGCTTTCATCTCCTCTTCACGTGATCTCCTCCATGTCGCCCCAAATTCGCAATGACGACCAACTCGCCGCTTCCTATTTGTGTTCTACTCGAAGGGCCTTTCTTGTGATGTCACTTGATTTTTTTCTCAGAGTATGGCCAATCCACCTTCACTTCTTTCTGCAGATTTGTTGCACAATCGGTTCCTGGTTGCTTCGTTTCCAGAGATCCCTGTTGCTGATCTTTTCTGGCCGGCCATTTAATCTTGAGTATTGAGCGAAGGAAACTGTTAATGAAGATCTGTAGTTTGTTTGAGATGCTCTTTATGACGCGCCAAGTCTCTGATCCGTATAGTAGCACTGACTGACTTCACATTGGAGTTGGAAATCCGGATCTTATTTTTCATGCTGAGTGCTGTTGACCTCCACAAAGACTTGAGAGTAATGAGAGCTTGCCTTGCTTTCCCGATCCTCAATTTAACATCCTCATCAGTTCCGTTCACCAGCAGTTGAAACGATGTTTCCACGTTAGGTAGGTGGAGAAGGTTGCTTCTTTCAGATTTCTCCCATTTATGCTGGCTGACTGTTGTCTGTTATTGCTGCTGTTGGTGTTGGCCAGGAATCCTCATCACCTCCGTCTTCTCTATGTTCGCCTGAAGGCCTATCTTTTTTGGATGCTTCTTCTGCCAACTTGTTGCTTTTCACTTGCATGTCTTCCAATTTCTGCACCATACAACTCAATATCTTTTTCAGAGAAAGCTACATGAGTAAAATAATAACCGACAAAAATTCATAAGAAGAAGATTTGGAGAATTGGCCATCAATACCGGAGGAAAGAAAACAAGGCGGGGAAAAGTGCGCTGAGAATTCGGGCACGAATAGTTAAGTATTTTGTGAATACTCCAGGTTTAACCTACTACCACTTCTATACCAGTTTCCAGCATCGTGTTCTTTTCACAGAAGTATGTGCTTAGGCTTAAGACATTACTGACAAATCGTTTATCTTACTCTTTATCTCGAGTTAAATGATGAAAGGCTAAAATTAACTCTCGTATTACATAACAGAGTGATGCAGAATTCTTTATATTACTACTGATCATATTCAAGTAGTCTAACAGCTTTCTAATTCTCTTCTATGTAGTTCAGTTTTCGTTAAAAATGTTTTTGCTTAAAAGAAATCTCCATATGCCAGAGTTTGCTTTCGATGAACAACAAAATATTCATTGATTAACTCTTCACTCCACTTGGCTACTTTTTAACACAGCCACTGCGTAACGATAACTGACAGCTTTGACCTACGCATTCGATCTTACAGCAATCCGACGAACTCGACATCATCAGTAAACAAATAGTAGGATATCATTGTGTGTAATTCCATATTTGTTTGTTTATTAGATATATCACACAGTGAAACAGTATTATTTACTGCACGACGAGGTTTCGAACAAAATTTATTGTTCATAATCATATCAATTGTAATCACACGACTTTGAAACTTGAGTTTTATGGTTTTCTTTGTTCTCTCCTATTTCTCATCGTAAGGGTAGTAGAATTTTCCAGATATCTGGAACAGGTGTTGAATCGTTCCTATTACACATATTTCCAGTTGATTTGATAAACAAAGCTTCTGTTATCAATCTCTCCCTCCACCCTGTTACATTAGATTTAAAACTGTCATTCTATCCGATCCTATTGTATGGTTGTGTGTAATTGTATGTAGTGCCATACCCAGCTGAACTATTCTCTAAATTTCTTATCTTATTCGGGTCAGCTTATCTAGATTTTGCCAGGTTTTTATGCTCGGCTAGTCTGACTGTTCCTGTTCTACTACTCTGACCTATGCGTTTGACCTGACAATCACTTCAGGCAGGATATTAGATAAACTAAATTGTTTTGTTTTAAAGGCTTTTAGAGATTGACGGTATCGACGTTCGCGTGTTGTACGGATTATACTAACGCAAGATCTTATACCAACAACCACTATAGTGTTCGTTCTTCGAGTACCAAATGGTAAAGCAAAAGACCAGATTTTGTCGTCCAAATACGATATATATTTTGGGACCAAATCGCGGGTAGGAATGAATGCTTAGCTAGCTAGTAATCGTGCACGCACGTGACACGACGAAGCACCAAATGGCGGGGATGCTTGACCGTAAGCCTTCAGCTAAACAAGTCGACTTAAACAGTGATGGTCAGCATCCAATGTTGAGTGATGATTGCTGTGGTCAATAATTTTGGGGAATTATTTACCGCTACAGCTCACTCCCCCCTAGTGGGTTTGTGAGGACCCTAAGACATGACCAGCCGGAAGTAAAAAAATCTCGATGGTTCCCTGATGGGTGAAAAAAATCTTCCAAGCGGCTTGATGGAGAGCCTGCTGGTCTGTCTGCCTATGCTAATAGGGTGTCTGTACATAGCTTCCTCAGTGTTGTTCGTTGGATCCCGTGCTTCGTTTGTTTCCTGTCCAGTGCCCGTTGCACCTGGAAAAGAAAACAAGAATGCTGAGAACCTTGTCAAGAAAAATGTACCAAATAAGCGTTTTTTACCAAAAAAAAATGACATGCATCTACTATACAGTAAAATAATGTAAAGTTCAAAATATCGGGGGAAAAAAATATACATCTAATTTACTTTTATGTACGGTTATAGGAAAAATATCATTTACTTGTGTTAAATGACGCAACATAAAAGAAATTGATGTGTCACTCAGTTATGTGAAATAGGTATGAAGGTATTCTGGGAATCTAACGTGACGTCCAGAACGCGTTTTTTTAGAGTGATTGACCGAAGTTTCGGTGGCTTTCGCCGTGCTAGGGAGTTTGTCAGGGGCCAGTCGTCGTGCTTTAGATGTCACGGGCTGTCCTGAGGTTAAGATGTGGTGCATAACATTGCTGGTTATACACGGGAGATCGTTAGATGGGCAATTGAGTTCCGAATATTTGTCAACAATCGGTTGAAAAGTTGGATCGAGGATTGCTTTCATCTTAACGATTGACAAACTGGGGCCTACGTAAGTTATGCCTTTGATAGACAAACTAGTAGTGTTGTCAATTAGTCGTTTACGGCGGACGTCTACGAGCAAATCATGATGATTAAGTAGGTCCGTGCCAATGATGGGCATTGTGATGTCAGCGATCAGAAAAATCCACCGAATAGGTTTGCGTAAACCTACGTTCAGATAGACGTATTTCCGACCATAGGTTGCAATTGGCTTTCCATTTGCAGCCTGTAGGTTGAAGTTAGGATCCTTCTGTCGATCTGCTGCTGTAGCAGGAAGGACGCTGACTTCGGCGCCTGTGTCGACTAGATATCTAGTCTGGCTAATTACATCATGGATGTAAAGTAAGCGGCTAGTGCCACCGGCGACGGTTGCCGCTAACGCGTGCCGGCGGGATAGTTTCCCACAGACTTGGAGGCTTTGCCGAAATCACAAGGTTTTCGACAACATTTCGCTTCCTTGCCATAGGTGTTGTGATACCAACACCAGTCAGGATTTTTGAGAGAGCGTGTGTTGGACTTAGATCGTCCACGTGCGCTTTGCCGTTGAGGGGATTTAGAACGACGATAGGAGGAATTGCTAGGCTTGTTTGACCTAAGCATCTGCTGGACGGAGTTGATTAACTCTATCATTGCAGAGTCCTTCTTCGAAGTCTGTTCGGTAACAGAGTATACTTCGGTAACTGGCCGTTTCGTTATCTCTAGAATTCTATCTGCAGAGACAGCTAAGTCATCTATGAGAACACTTTGAAGTGTCACAAGTACAGTCTGAACTGACTGTGGCAGTTTGGATAAAAATAGTTCTCTAAACAGTCCTTCATCGAACTGACTTTGGCCAATGATCTCTTTCATTCTTGCCAGCATGCTCACGGCTGACTGATCTCCTAACTCGATGTTACGAAATAACTCATCCAGACGTTGTCGATCTGTGAGAACGTTTCTCTTAAGGATGGATCCTTTGAGCAACTCGTACGAGTTACTTACCGACATCTGCAGAGTTACGCACCTGCTGAATTCCCGCGGTAGGGCGTGAATAACTGCAAGGAACTGTGAACGTTGATCAGTTATGCCATGTTCACAAAAATCAGACTCAGCAATCTGAAACCACGTTTCAGCATTATCTGGCCAAAATGGTACTAGCTGAATTGTTTTGGCGGTTGAGCGAATCTGAATAACCTTGGGGCTAGGATCACTCATGACGAAAAGTATGCCGATAACAATATAGTACAAGAATAAACACAAAAAGGAACGAACTCACCGGGTTTATCTGCGTGTGAATTGAAGATGAAGTTCGAGGTTGGGCTCACCAGTTTCGAGGTGGGCTGTAGGTATCGACGTTCGCGAGTTGTACGGATTATACTAACGCAAGATCTTATACCAACAACCACTATAGTGTTCGTTCTTCGAGTACCAAATGGTAAAGCAAAAGACCAGATTTTGTCGTCCAAATACGATATATATTTTGGGACCAAATCGCGGGTAGGAATGAATGCTTAGCTAGCTAGTAATCGTGCACGCACGTGACACGACGAAGCACCAAATGGCGGGGATGCTTGACCGTAAGCCTTCAGCTAAACAAGTCGACTTAAACAGTGATGGTCAGCATCCAATGTTGAGTGATGATTGCTGTGGTCAATAATTTTGGGGAATTATTTACCGCTACAGGCTCCACGGGGTCCTTTAACGGAAGCGTTGTTTATCGAGTCAACTGCAGATACGTGTAATAGGAATGATTCAACACCTGTCCACCCTAACATCTGGAAAATCCTACTACCCCAATGACGACAAATAGGAGAGAACAAGGAAAACTATAAAACTCAAGTTCCATGGTCGTGTGATTATAATTGATAAAATGATTATGAACAATAATGAATTGTGTTCGAAACTGTGTCATGCAGTAAATAATACTGTTTCACTGTGTGATATATCTAATAAACAAACTAATATGGAATTACTTACTACCACAGTGCCCAAGTTTTACACATATATTAATATCATTGTGTGTACTTTATCAAATACACTTAAACAATATGGAATAATACTTTACCATAGTGTCAAAATCCTCCTCTTATGCCGGAGTGACTTTGGAATACAGTGGAAGGAAGACGAAATAGACAAAAAATTAGGCTATTTGGAAATGCATCTGGAAAAAAATGACAAAAGTGATATATTCAGAATATTTGCATCTTTCTAGCTCAAATCACATGAGAAACTAAATTCATCTCTTGTGTAAAATGCTTGGATATACTTAGAGACTTCAAACTGTCAACATTTTGATCAGCGTGGACAGAAAAAAGCTTGACCAGTTACCTTAAAATGTAACTTCCAATACAACAGAGTTCTTATTATTGTATCGATGTAGAAGCGTTTCGTGGAATTCCTCTGATTAAATAACAATCCACTGTATTTTCAAGTATTGGTTTGTAGGGATTTGATTGATTGGTTACAGGATTTTATCATGAGGTGACATCAGTTAGAGAACCATTGAAAAACCTGGGAGTACTGGACAGCTGTTTCGTCCTAGTTTGGGACGTGACCAGTAGGGTGCAGCAGGTCGGGTGTGGGGACAAATACTCGCCAAAGACATTGACTAGCGGTCGCGCTATGTCGTGAATTGGCAGAAATTGGAATTCAAGGGCTGGCCATTGGATCGGGTCCCAGTGGCTTAATGGTCTACGAACTCGCCTTGTAACCAGAAGGTCCTGGGTTCGTACCCCGGTGGTAGGTGCATACTGATGAAGAGTCACGAACTAGGACGAAACAGCTGTCCAGTACTCCCAGGTTTTCTCTAACCGATGGCACCTCATGATGAAATCCTGTAACCAATCCACTGTATTGTTGTTGATTGATTATCTACATCCTATGAATTAGTTTGTTGTTAAAAGGTCTGTCAACTTTTTGTATAAAAATGAGAGTTTATTAAGAATGAGGGAGAAATACTGTTGGGCAGTTCTTCTTTATTCTGACATCAAATTAATAGAAGCTTTTGTTCGTAGCACTCGACCAAACTTTTCACTACATTCGATAAACATGCTGTCATGATCCCAGTTTAATCCTACCTATCAAATAATCATTCACACTTACATCACAGTACTACAGTCTTTCTGTATTGGAACAAAAACAAGATCAGAAAATCCTACAAACATCTTAAGAATTATTATTATTGGTCATTCTTTGGGTTCCATGTGGAACAAAGGGTCTCGGAGGCACATCTTCATTTGATATGGTTCTCTGCCATCACTTTCAGTTGGTTTCACGACTGCCTACAGGCTTTCATCTCTTCTTCATATAATTTTTATTTCACCCTCAGATAGCGAAGTCGTTGGCTTCCACTGGAGAATCTGGTGTTTAGTGTCACTCAACATTATCCCTAGCGCATGTTCAATCCATGTCCTTGCTTCCTTCTGCATATCCATTGAAAAATACGTTGGTGAGGGTTCGTTGCCAGTTTTCTTTGTCGCCTATCTTTTCCAACCAGCTAACTGACCTTCAACATTGAGTGAAGGCGAGTGTTCATGAAAATCTTATACAGGCTGTTGGAAATACTTTTGGTGAAGTTTGGCCAGGTCTGTGAAACATAGAGGCACTGACTTGACATTAGTGTTAAAAGTTGCGATCTTATCCCCTACGTGAGAGTCTTAGGTTTTCAAATGAATGAACGCCTATTTTACTTTCTCGATATGATCCTAGTTGGCTTTGACGTAATCATTTATGCACACTGTAGTCGAAACAATGCTGTCTGGGTCAGGTGAGTGAAAGAGACACTTTCTTTTAGATTTCTCCAATTATTGGTAATTGATGTTTGTTGTTGGTGAAGTATCTTCATAACCTGCGTGTGGACAAGTTCAACTTTAAGCACCAGTACCAATGGAGTGAGACTGCACCAATGACCTTGAAGCGCTCAGTGAGCAAGTTAGTGAAACCCGGCAAATAATATCGTAATCATGAATAAAATATGCTGTGTCATTAAATGGGATACCTGGCAAGTTTCAGGTTAGGTTTGGGAAAGATTAAGTTAAGGTTTAGGCTAAGGACAGGTTAGGGTTAGGTTAACCTAATGAGGGCTACATTAGGGTTGATTCAAGTTAAATTAGGTTTAGTTTAGGGATGTTTTCACACTACGGTTAAGTTAAGGAAAGATTAGTGTTATTGTTAGGGTTAGAAGACCTATGAAATAATATGCACAGAATGTGGTTAAATTACTTTTTTGTTACTCTAATCCAAAAGTATCCTGTGTAACAGTTTCAAGCCTTTTAACTTATTATTTTCATGAATATATATATTTTTTGCACAAAAGTCGCCTTCATCACGTGGTTGGCTCGTTCAAGGTCATTTGTCCGTTGATACTTACGACAGAGGATAGACGCACAAACGGTTTACAGAGAGACTAAGCACTTGAGGGGCACTTATATACGTTGTGATCGGTAGATTTTCCTTAGCGTAAACCTTTTGGCTAATACGTTTGCACGTTAGTGAAGCGGGCTTTGAAACAGTAATAATAAAATCAGATAGTTATTGTGTGTCTCAGCTTAAGGGTGTGGTGGCCGAAAAACATATTAAATTATACGTCCACCGTAAAATAGTAAAAATAAGGAATTCACAGAAAATCGTGGTTGTTACGTGAGATTGAACAAGGACACAACCTGGTTCCGCGCGCAACACTCGCTTATCACATCTGCCAACCAACTCTGCCTCGTACCGATCGACACATCCACATTAGGATACTTTGCTCCAATCAATTTTTTCTCTGCGCAAGTGCTCTCCGGCAGTTGGCATCTCTTATGTGTAGTTGAGGATCTGTATACTCAAGAAAAGTACAATTTCATCCCTATCACTTTGTATGTCTATATTTTGAGTATTTTGGGACTATTATAATTTTTCAGATAACTCCATTTTTAGTGTATATTAACTTATGTGGACTGAATACCTTCTATATACATACATGTTAGTATTTGTTCTGTCCTTTTTGATTGTGCGTATAAACGAACTTAGCCGTTTTGTCCACTACAAAGGAACAAATTAATACATGTTTAAATTTCACAGATGTGATATACATTGGACCCATTTGCAAAAAGAATATCATTGAGTAACTGAATCAAAGAAGTATAAAGTTTGAAGATTTGATCTCTTTCAGATATATAAGACAGGCAGTTGAGGAAGAGATAGTGTGATAGACGTTTCGGAAGTTCTACAATTCTTCAAATCTATCGTGGAATATATATTTATGCGTTGAAGTTTCTGTTGCAATTTGGTTAAGTTTTAGGGGTGGAGTTGCTAGCACCACGCCCCAACCCTCCGTCTTTATCCGAGGATGTCAAATCGAGAATCAGGAAGGCGAGAAAGACATTCATCAACCTGAAACCAATCTGGAAATCTTCGTCACTCAGCACCAACAACAAAATTCGGATTTTCAATACAAACGTCAAGTCAGTCAGTTCTTCTATACGGATCAGAAACTTGGAACATTACCAAGAATATTTCCAACAGGTTGCAGACCTTTATCAACAACTGTCTTCGCTGGCTCTATACTGAAGATCAGATGGCCGGAAAGAATCACCAACAAGAAACTATGGGAACAAACAAAACAAGAACCAATTGCCCAACAAATATGCAGGAGAAAATGGAGATGGATTGGACACTCACTGATGAGGCCGCTGGGTGACATCGCACGTCATGCTCTCGAGTGGAACCCGAAAGGGAAGCGACGAGTGGGACGTCCAAGGGTGACATGGAGGAGATCGTGTGAAGAGGAGTTGAAACAGTATGGACTAACATGGACGCAGGTGAAAAGTACCGCAGAAGACAGAAGCAAGTGGAGACGTGTAGTTGAAGCCCTTGTGGCGGCCTAAAAACATATCAAATTATATGTTCACCGAAAAATAAGGAATCCAATGAAAATCGTGGTTGTTAGGTGAGATTGAAAAGAACTCAACCTTGGACCGCGCGCAAGGAACGAATTGGTTGCTCTCTCTCCGGCGGCTCGCTCAGCACATCTGCCTACCAACTCTGTCTCGCACTGATTGACACATCCACATCACGAGCTTTGCTCCTATCTGTTTTTCTCTACGCGGAGACCTCCGACGGTTGACAGCTCTAAGGTGTAGTGGAGGATTTGTATAATCAAGAAAAGGACAATTACATTCCTATAATTTCGTACGTCTATAATTTGTGTATTTTGTGACTATTAT